TTAGGTCAACATATGAGTTCTCTCTGTTATTCCTGCCACCATGCCTTTGCTCTGCCATCATGGACTCTAACCCTCTGAAACTGTAAGCCCAATTAAACACTTTCCTTTATAAGTTGCTTTGGTCATGGTGCTTTGTCATAGCAATAGAAAAATAACTCTCACACCTACCATGTCCCAGATAGTGGAAAGTGTCCCTTTATCACTGCATCTAAACCTTACTTACGATCTGCAAGGCATTGGCATATCATCCTCATGTCACAGCTAATAAGCAAACATGCACAAAGGGGAAAAGCTCATCCAAGTTACACAGAGACCAAAGCATCTTCTCAACCAAATAGATTCAGCCTTAATCTGACTTCAAAGTCCATGTTTTGTTTTCTGATATCCACTATGCTTGAGAAGTAGAGAACAATTTTTCTATTACATAAAGGTTATTAATTTGTATAAATCCAAATTAACTGAATAATATATAAGGCCCAGAAAATCACTGCATCAGTACACCAAGACAAATATTTTCAGCTATAAGACTAAGAAGACACATGAAAATAGAATTTTAAATAAACTTTTTAAATTTTTCATCTTTCCTCCCTAATAATTATGGCATTAAACTTTTGATTCAGGATACAAGTTTATTTTCTTTTAATTCCTGGTAGATTAAGACTTTGACAAGAAAGATATTCAAAACAAGAAAGACAATAAAGTAACAGAAGAGGAAAGAGGTAAAAAGCAGAAAAACACTTTATTTCCAGTTTGGGATGATTAGAATTATTTGCAGCTAATGTAGCACATTAAACTGAATTTGAGCAGCAGAGGGAATGTGGTCTAGAAACTGGGGTTCAGGGAGAAAAGCCTGTCAATTTTTCAGCATAGGTCCACTGGCAAATACCACCCTATGAAATAGAGTCTTGCATAGGTAACCTTTGCCCAAGGATTCCTAGCCTTAATGCCCTGTTTCTAAAATGGAATCACGCCTCTCTTTTAGAATCCTAGCACTGTCATAAAGACAAATGAGTGTGAGTTCCAGTTTAGAACCAGCAAACCTCAAAACTTTACTGCAACCTAGGCCTGACTCATGTTAACATTAAAATACAGGAACACATGAGTGTCACACCAAATATCTCGGGCCTTACAAGGCCATGAATGAAGCATGGCTCTTCTGACCTTTGCATTCTTGATTCCAGACATTGGTCCCTCTAAACTCTGACATTTTATATGCTTATATGAATGCATTATCATTTGGGTATGGTCACCCACACTTTTAATCATAACATTCAGGAGATAAAGACAGATGTGAACTCACAGCCCTCTTTGCCTACATAATAAGTTTCAGGACAGCAAGGGATATACAGTGAATCTCCATTTCAAGACAGAAAGAAAAAGAGAGAAGGAGAGAGAAAAAAGAGAGAGACTATATTACAAGCCACATTTCATTTTATACTACCATCCTAACCATATCTAGGATATGGTTCAATGTGTATCACATGAGCCTGGGTATTTGACCCCTCCTCATCTCTCTAATAGCCAGGCTACTAGCCTCAGATTCCTCTCCAGACCAAGGAATTGCATCTGGAGATCCCCCTTGCCTCCATGGTTCAAACCTAGTGATTTATTCTGAGACACTTGTGCATCACATTTTAAAACAAATCTCCAGTTCTGCTTTGGTTCATCTCAGCAAAGGTAGCTGAGTTGAAGAAATCAAAAAGGTCACTTACACTAAAGACAAAATACAAGCTGCAGCCAAGGGACACATGGGCTATTTGTAAACAGCAGCATAAATACTATCCATTCTTTATCATTCAACAAAACTACTGAGTAACCTTTTAAAAATCGCTTCATTCTTACATAATATTCAGACAACACGGAAAGGAAAAGCCAGATTTGGGGTTAAAAACTTGAGACAAGAAGACTCAAGACCAAAGTGACAAGCCATGGACTGCACAGGCCAAATTCAAGCTGCTGCTTAGTTCTGTAAATCAACTTTACTAACATGCATCCATTTGTCTACATATTTACCTACAGGTATTTTAATGTTACCCAACAGATCTGCAGAGCTGTTACTGAGACTACATTGCTTGCAAAGCTCAAAATATTTGCTTATTGCTTTATTTGTCCAGTGCTGCTGGTCTAAGTCTGAGGTGGCAATGAACTTGTAGAAGCTTTGCTCCTCCTCCTCCTTCTCAGGCATTCTGTGACCTTTCTAAATCTTGACTTCTGGCCTAAGTCCCTTCATTCATTCTTTTGCTATCATGGTGTTTCTCCTTTCGTATGTGAGTTTCTGTCAGAAATAGATTTGCTGTCACACCCTCAGTCTGCCTTTACCCAGCTATGCTGGAGTCTAGAAAATGACAACTCAGAAGACGGGTTAAATACAATTTCTCTCTCTTCACCCATTTTCCACTATCTGCCTGCCTGGCCCTTGGGTTATTAATGGAACTGACATTCTTGTACAACTGGCTGGGCAGGACCAGCAGCCAGATAACAAGGGAGCAGCTGACAGTGGCAGGCACAACCCTAGAGATAGCAGATAAGCAGATGCATCATGGGCTATTAGTTTCATCCTGGGCGAAAGGGAAGGAAGACTGTAAAATCTAAACTCAAGACATTTCTAATGACTCTTTTCCCATGAAATTAAAACCGAAAAACAGTAAAACTGATTATTTTTAGTGAACCAAACCAAACTCAACATGCATTTTTAAATCCTCACATACTCAACTTGAATTTGGACCAATAAAACTTTTACATAATCGATCTCCCTTGCCCATGTGACTAATAAAAGTAATAAAATTCTACACAATTCTGAAAAAGTAGCCCTTTGTTTTGAATCTCTAAAATTATACCTAAGGCAATTGTAGCATTTCTCAGCTCTTTCAAAGTCATACAACCAACCAGTTCTTCAGTCCAAAATAACCTCCAACATACACTAAAAAGTAAATGTTTTCACAGTACACATTTAAATTGCTGGTACTTGCTTATCTGGTGTTGTTAAAATTCTTAAGTATTTATTAGTACTTGTTTCATCTTTTTTTTTTTTTTTTTTGGATTTTCCTCTTTTTAACTTTTTATTGGTTATTTGTGAATTTCACATCATGTACCCCAATCCCTCTCACCTCCCACTCCCCTCATACCTGCCCTCCACCCTTGCAACCTACCCAATAGAGAAAAAAACGTCATTGTGAAAGCTGTAGTGAGTCACAGTGTGCCCTTTTGTACACCCTTCTTTGCACGCAAATGTTCATTGCAATGAGTCATTGGTATGACTCCTCTGGCTTCTGCTACTCTGTCAATACTGGAACCTCATTGGGAGTCCTCTCAGAAATCTAGTTGTTGCCCTGTGTCATGGGGATCCTGTAGTTTTTTTTTTTCTTATCAGTTACATTTTATTAACTCTGTATCCCAGCCGTGTCCCGCTCCCTCATTCCCTCCCAGTCCCTCCCTCCCTCCCTCCTCTCCACCGTGCCCCTTTTACATCTATAGAACTGGCCCCTTCATACACTCCAGCAGTTCACTGAAGAGGTAGTTGTTGGGTTGAACCAATTCAAAGCTCTGGATCTAGGCCTAAGAGGTATCTGAGTTGGTCACCATTCTGACTCTTCCACTCTCATGCCATCAGGGCTGCCTCACCAGCAAGCTCCACTGCCAGGGCCAGCTCTACCCTGCTGCCAGGCACGGTTCAGGGCCTGCTCTCCAGCATGTTGCATCCCGTGAGGGACACGGGCCAGTCTCCCGTTCTCCTGACTCAGGGCCCAGCTCTCTTGCCTGCCATAGATTTCAAAGGATGAGGGAGGGGAGGAGGGCATTCTCCCTCTTCCATGCCACAGCCCAGCATACAAGAGGCAGAGCTGACTCTCCCCCACTCACACCCTTGGGGCTGGTTCACCCACAACCCCCACATTCAAGGCCAGCTCTATTGTGCTACCAAGGTGACCTGCAGAGCCTGAGTGCTGCAGCAGGTGAGGGGCAGGGATAGCTCTCCTGCTCTCATCACTCCGTTGGTGCCAACTTTCCAACCATCTGCTGGTGATGAAGGGCAAGGTGAGAGGATGGTGTCTCTCCCTCATCCATACTACTACACAGGAGATGGGTGGTGGAGCCAGGTCTCCCATGCTCTTGTTCTTGGGGGATGGCTCAACTGCAACTCCTGGATGCAATGTGCAGGGTCACTCTCCTAAATACCGCAGCTGGCTGGGGCAGGGTCAGCTCTCTTGCTCTTATGCTCCAAGGACCAGCTCTCCCAAGATGTCCAGATAAAGGGTGGTACCAGTTCTGCACAGGCCTCAGATATTAACATGTCCCTGGGTAGCAGCTCAGACCAGGGACATTTGCCTGGCCTTTGGTGGCAACAAAAAACCTCTGGTGCTGAAGGGATACAGACCCAGAGAGGGGCCCCAGTGGCAGCACAAGCCAGGACTCCACCATGATCCCAGATTGCATCCCTGGCTACTCATATCAGACTGTTCCTCACTACCCTCAACTCTCCAATTCTGCCTCTCTTCATTATGCCCATATCCTTCTGTTTCTCTTGCTCTTCCGTTTCTCCACTGCTTATTTGCTCCTCTTAGTGGCACCTGAGGTCTCTGAGTGTCTGGAATTATCTCAGGAGTGGTCTCAAGAGTGCTAAGCCCCACTTGTGCATTATGGCACCAGGCAGGGTCATCTGGGGTATGGTCTCACCCCCAAGAAGGCCTTGACAGAGCATGACGTGGTCATCTTAGGCTAACTCTCTGTCTGGGACCCAAGGAGAGGGTCTGGCAGTCATGTAGGTCTTGCTCATTGCCCAGTCCACCTGAGTGACCCCCATGCAAGGGCCATCTGTCTCAGGATCACTGCAACTTTGGGCCCTCAGTTCCAGGTGGGGTTCTTCTAGTCTCCAGCTTGCCCAGGTCCTGGAGCCATCAGGGACTATACAACATTAAACTCATGGTCATCCCAGGTTAGTTACCTCTCTGAGGCCCCTGGCTCCAGGACTGGTGATCATCTCTGGCTTGCTACTTTTTTCAGGGAACATTAGGTGATTAATTATTCAGATATTCTTAAGCCAGAACACAGAGTGTAGCATAACCTCTCTCCTCTCTCTCTCTCACCTATTGGCACACATGTGACACAGAAGCCATACCTGCAAACTTCTAGGAGAAGGTCATGTTTCATCTTTTCAAAGTTCCACATACTTCAACACTTCAAATTAGTCCTCTACCGTTTTGTTGTTGCTGCTGCGGGCTGTTGTCTGCTGTTGATTTCCTTGTGCTGGTGATGAAACCCAAAGTCTTATAGAGGTTGACTAGGTACTTACTAATGAGACATGCCCCAAGGCTGACACTAGCGTTCTTTTTTTTTTTTTTTTATGACACAATCACATACTGGTTAGCTTATTTATATTTTTCTGTGCCTGCCTTTTGGGGAGTGTGCATATATGTATATGGGAGAAGGTTCATGAGCATACATAGGTGAGTGTATATTCCCATGTGTACACGTGTGGAGGCCAGAGGAGAACATTGGGAGTCTTCTTCTCTTGACTTGACAGGGTCTTTCATTAAACCAGACACTCAGTGAGCTACCTGTCTGTCTCCACCCTACAATTCTGGGGTTACAGGCATATACAGCCATACAGCTCTTACATGGGTGCTTGAGATCTGAACTCAGGTCCTCATGCACGCACAAGTTCTGTTACCCACTGAGCTACCTCCTCAGCTCCTTATTTATGTTCTTTCTTAAAATATTCATTTATTTTTCTTTTTGAGTATTATATTTATGATTATTTGCATGGTTGGTGCTGAAGAATGTCAGAAGAACCTGTCAGAACCCCTGGAAGAAGAGTTACAGACAGTTGTAAGCTGCCATATGGGTGCTGGAAACTGAACCTGGCTCTAAAGCAACAAATGTTCATTGTCTCTAAACCAGCTCTCCAGCTCCCTTATTTATATTCATAACAGTCAATATTAAGAATGTAACATTAAGCATCCTCCCTAGGGTCCTCCTTGTTGTTTTCATTCTTTAGGTCTGTAGATTTTAGTATGGCTATCCTATATTATATGGCTAATATCCATTTATAAGTGAGTATATCTCACTCAAAATGGCAAGCAGGATATACACTAGAAGTGGTGGAAGAGAGGGAACAGGATAGGAGTCTACTATAGAGGCTTCTCTAAAAGGCTCCACCCAACAAGGGATCAAAGCAGATGCTGAGACTCACAGCCAAACATTGGGCAGAGCTCAGGGAGTTTTTTGGCAAAAAGGGGGGATAGAAAGACAGGGAGGGGACAGGAGACAAACAAAGCTAAAACACCTGAGTCCAGGGACTCCTGCAGAGACTGATGTACCAACCAAGGACTAGACATAGAGAAGACCTAGAGTCCCTGCTCAGATGTAGCCCATTGGCAGCTCAGTCTCCACATGGGTACCTGAGTAAGGGGAGCAGGGCCAGCCTCTTTCATGAACTCGGTTGCCTACTCTTTGATCACTTACCCTGATGATGCAGCCTTACCAGGCCACAGAGGAAGAGGATCCAGGCAGTGCTGATGAGACTTAACAAGCTATGGGCAGATGGCAGAGGAGAACTTCCCCTTTCAGTGAACTAGGGGAAGGGGATGGGAGGGTGGGACTGGGAGGAGTTGAGGGAGGGGCTTCAATCAGGGTAGATAGTGAATAAATTGTAAAAATAAATGAATAAATAAATAAACAAGCCAAAAGAGAGAGAGAGAGAAATTAACTGACTGTAAATTTGCTATAACCCAACAACTGACATGCCTGGCTGAAAGAAAAAGATAGCCATAATATCAACTTCAACTTCCTTAATATAATTTGTGTGCAAAACAAAGGTAGTAGTATTACCCCCATTGGGCTGAATGAGTTGGACTCTATATAGAATTATTTTGTTTAGCCTTGAACTTGAGCTTTTAAAAAAAGTGTTGAAAACTGGAGCACAGGCAGTGGCATGAGGCATCAGAAGCACAGTATATAAGTACTGGTTTGAACTCTGGCTGAATCACCTGGAGGGTTGACTGCACTGTAGAGTCCTGTATCCTTTCCCAGAGTTTCACTCCATAGATATGATGTGGGACAATGAATCGGCATTTCTAGCTAGTGTCTAGATAATATTAATGCTTCTGGTTTGTAGACCAGGCTTAGAGATGTACTTCTATTAGGATAAAAGGGGACTGGAAAGCTAAACTTTCAGGAATGTAGCCCCATCTTTTCCAGCAACCAGCTCAATGACCATGGACAAGCATGCTTCCCCTCTCCTGACTTTACAGTCTTCATCTGTTTAAATAAATTACTGTACCTTCACTGTAGTGGTTCTTTGATATCAATGTGGTATTTATAAAAAACCTTTTGAACCTACAGGTTGGCATAAAATAATGTTGTCAATTTTACATGAGAAACAGAAATTTTGTTTCATCTGCATATAAAAAACATTGCTGAATCGGTAGAAATTAGTAGGGCTTCTGTGTGGAAAACCTCATCTGCATAGTTCCTTAATACCCATGTGGAATCAAGGGACAGAAGGGGCCAACAAGAAACCTTCAGATGTTTATCTAGACCATTCAACAGACAGAGTGTCATGGAATAGATGCCCTGGAATAGAATTCCCAACCCACTGTGGTACTTAACTGAGACAGATGATAGAAAGAGGGCCCTACAGAGTGTAAAGAACTCCATCAACTTCAGCTAGTTCTAATAACTCAGCCTTGATGGAAGGAAATTGCCACCTGTGATCACCCAGAGTCCCCTCCACACTGGCATTATCTGAGGACTCATCAGAAACGCTGATTCCCGGCATAACTCTATACTCACTGAGCCAGATTCTCTGGCTTGGAATTTGTGCCAGTGAGCACTCTTGAATAGTACTGACTCACAATCACGTATGAAAGGTTACATGACCTAGGCATGTGCAACCTTTGATACAGCATTGTTATCTATGATATTCAAATGAGAACCACAAAATTGCATTACAATCTCCCTACATCCCTTCCTTCCTCCCTCCTCTCATGATGTTTCAAGTATATTGATGATGTTTTTTTATTGCTTTACATTCATAGCTAGCCTTGGCCACAGTTTGGCCACCCATGAAAGTCCTTCCAATAGCATTTCATAAAGTTATGGATTATAATTACTTCCATAAGCTATCACACAGAATATATTGAACTCCTACTTATACTACAAATACATGCATGCATACATACATATATACATATATATGCACATAGATAGAACACAAAGATAATTGTGGAAGAAGCTAGCTAGCGTTAAGAGCACTTGTTACTCTTGCAAAAGATCTATTCTCCGTTTTCAGCATCCACAAGGCACCTTACATGCATCATAACACCAGTTCCACAGGATATGATGCCCTCTTCTGACCTCTGAGGGCACCAGGCAAGCCCATGGTACACATGCAGGTCAGTGTCCATAAGCAAAAATTGTTTGCTTTTGATTTTTTTTTCTTTGAGAGAGAGAAAACATGAGGTTGGGTAGATATGGAGGTAAAGAGGACTTAGGAAAAGTTGGGGAGGGAAAATAATATGATAAAAATATGATGAATAAAAAATGTAATAAAAATAAAAAACATTTAAAAAATAATAGGTTTCTTCAAAATTGGAAAATCTAAAATCCTAAAAAAACACCTCCTTTTTTCTTTTTCTTTCTTTTTTGGTTATTAAAATTTATTCACTTTGTATCCCAGCTATAGCCCCCTCCCTCAGCCCCTACCAATCCCACTCTCCCTCCTCTTCTCCTCCAATGCCCCACCCACAGTCCACTGATAGGGCAGGTCCTCCTCCGCATCCATCTGATCCTAATTTATCAGGTCTCATCAGGACTAGCTGCATTGTCTTCCTTTGTGGCCTGGTATATAGCTGCACTCCTCCCAGAGGGAGGTGATCAAAGAGGCAGCCACTGAGATCATGTCAGAGACAGCCCCTACTCCCCTTACTAGAGAACCCACTTGAAGTCTGAGCTGCCATGGGCTACATAAGAAAAAGGAGTCTAGGTTATCTCCATGAATGGTCTTTGGTTGAACTATCAGTCTAAGAAAAGACCCTTATGCCTAGGGTTTTTTTGGTTCTGTTGCTCTCCTTGTGGAGCTCCTGTCCCTTCCAGTTCTTTCTATCTCCCACTTCTTTCATAAGATTCCCTGCACTTTACCCAAAGTTTGGCTATTAGTCTCAGCATCTGCTGGAATACCCTGCTGGGTAGAGTCTTTCAGAGGCCCTCTGTGGTAGACTTCTGTCCTGTTTCCTGATTTCTCAAGCTTCCAATGTCTATCTCATTTGCTTTCTGAGTGGGCATTGAGCAAATTCCTTAAGGTCCTACTTCTTGATTAGCTTCTTTAGGAGTACAGATTTTAGTATGTTTATCTCATATTATATGACTAATATCCATTTATAAGTGAGTATATACCATGTATGTCTTTCTGCTTCTGGGATACCTCACTCAGGATGATCTTTTCTAGTTTCATCCATTTGCCTGCAAATTTCATGATTTCCTTGTTTTTAATTGCTGAGTAGTATTCCATTGTGTAAATGTACCACAATTTCTGTAACCATTCCTCAACTGAGGGACATCTGGGTTGTTTCCAGATTCTGGTTATTATGAATAAAACTGCTACAGAACATGGTTGAGCAAATGTCCGTGTTATATACTTGAGCATATTTTGAATATTTGTCTCTTATTTCTTTTTTTTATTTCTTCCCTGATCCAGCCGTCATTGACTAGAGAATTGTTTAGTTTCCATGAATGTGTAGGCTTTTTGTTATTTCTGTTGCTGCTAATGTCTAGTTTTAGGCCATGGTGGTCTGATAGGATACAACGCATTATTTTGATCATCTTTAATTTGCTGAGGCTTGCTCTGTGCCCAACTATACGGTCAATTTTGGAGAAGGTTCTGTGAGTGCTGAGAAGTTGAGTTTGGATGAAAAGTTCTGTAGACATCTATTAGGTAGGTCCATTTGATTTTTCTAGCCCTTTACTCTGAAGTAGTGCTTATCTTTGTTGCAGAAGTGTGTTTCTTGGATGCAGTAGAATGTTGGATCCTGTTTCCGCAACCAATCTGTTAGTCTATGTCTTTTTATTGGAGAGTTGAGTCTGTTGATGTTGATAGATAGTGACTAATGATTGTTAGTTCCTTTTATTGTGGAGTTGGTA